GGAGGAGTCCCTTCAAGTTCAGCATCGTCCTTCCTGGGGGGCTGCTGTGTGCCATCTTGCAGGGATCTCTAGCAGCCTTCAAGAAAAGCCACTCGTCCCTCTTCTGGGGAACTTGCCTTGCTTTTTGAGACTCTCAGACTCCTGAGTGGCTGTTTGTGCTGTTGGCCTTGGTTTCCGCGATTGTTCTGGTCCATTTGCGTGTGCCTGTCAGATCTGCGAGATGTAGCCATTGTGTTCGTGTGTCCATTCATCCAGCGAGAGGTTTTACGGGGCAAACCTTGTGCCACAGGAGCTCTGCTGGTTCCTAGTGGGGCCCAGAACACAGACCAGGCACCTGACCTCGTGGAGAGGACAGTCTAAGGAGGGAAACAGACAAGTTAAATATTAGAACTTGGATGTGTGCTCTGGTCGGGGAGGAGGATGGGGGGCTGATGAGCAGGGCTCCCTGCAGGAGTGGAGTTCTAAGCCGAGCTGTGGCCCAGAGGTCTTGGGAAAGAGCCTTCTGGGCAGAGGGCTTTGAGGCCAAAAGGGGCCGGATATGTGGGAGGGGACTGAATTCGAGAAAGCCCAATCCTGGCTCATTGCTGAGGCTGGGCTGGCCAGTCTTTTTTTTTTTTTTTTAATATATTTTTATTTATTTATTTGACAGGCGGAGATCACAAGTAGGCAGAGGGACAGGCAGATAGAGAGGGAGAAGCAGGCTCCCCACCGAGCAGAGAGCCCAATGCGGGGCTTGATCCCAGGACCCTGAGATCATGACCTGAGCCGAAGGCAGAGGCTTTAACCCACTGGGCCACCCAGGCGCCCCCGGGCTGGCGAGTCTTGATGTTGACCTGTGACGGTCAAAGTCGTCTGTAGAGTGGACGCGTTCTTAATCGGCTCCCGGGGGTCTGGTCCTCCGTTCTCACGCCAGTGGTGGGCGGCCTTCCCTGCCGCTGCCTGCATCCCGACCTCTGTGACTCTATCCGGTTATTTGATGCTTGGCCCTGTCTCTTTGAAGCTGAGGTTGGAGAGGGAAAGATCGGGCTATGAGAAGCTCTTCAACTCGGGGATGAGGCCCACGTGTGTCCTTGCCTCCTTCCTTCCTCGGGCTGTTGAGAGCACATGTTGTGTGCCATAATAGGCGTGTGGGTACAGTCCTGAATGAGGTGGGCACAGTCCCTGCCCCGATGGGTACTCATCTGGGGACTTAAGTAGTCGTGGGGTTTTCTGTACCATAGTTCAATCCCCCCAACAGACCACGGGCTCCATGTCACCACTCCTGTTGTACAGAGGAGAGAACCACGACTCAGGAAAATGAGCCGACTTCCCCAAGGTCACATAACTGTTAAGTGGCAGAACCTACACTTGAACCCCAGTGAGGTTCAACTCCGAAGCCTGGTACTATGTCTGCTGCCCTGGGAACTTGAATCTGTCGGGGGCGACTGGGTCAGAAGAGTGAATAATGAGGCCACTGTGATACGGGCTGCCGGCACGGTGTAGACCCCGTGTACGCAATGAGAGGCAGGGCTTGTGAGTAGGTCTGGGGTGGGGGTCTTGCCCAGCCCGAGTACACTGTGGCCAGAGGAGGAGGGGACTCGAAGCTACTGCAGGCAGTTGGAGCAGAGGCCCTGGGGGTAGGAAAGTACTAGAAGTCTTTGAGAAGTCACTTGCAGGTGAGTGTACCACCTACAGGGCAGGGTGGGTCAGGGCTAGAGTGGAGTGGTGAAGAGCCTGGGAAGGAAGGTTGGGGCCATTGATTTTGGAACTGGCCTGTGGTCACCCTGGGAGGGATGGGTCATTGGACGGGGGAGTCTGGACAAGGGACACAAGTGCCTTTGCTTTACCCTACAGCATAAACACGGCACTCACATCTTGTTTTTTACCCACGCTCTGAAGATGTTCCCGGGGATTTAGTTCCACGATGGCACAGCGGATGCCCTTCTGCGGCAACCCAGGGTTGCCAGCCTCTGCCAAGACTGTTCCATTAGCAGCGACACTGAGAGGTGCAAAGAATGTTTGATTAGCAGCGTCATCTTGGGGTATCTGCGAGGCACGTGGTGCAGGAAGGCTGGGCTTTGCCTCCGGGGAGGTTTCTCTAATTATCAAAACTGGGAATTGGGTGGAATTATCTTTGTTCCGACTCGGTGTTCCCTCTTTGGCAAATTGTGCCCGCTTTCCACTGAGTCCTTAGAAGGTGGCAGGACTTAACGGGGCTCAGGACCACACGAGGGCCCGGTGCCCTTCAGGCTAGCAGCCTGTGAGCCCAGGACCACAGTTTCTAGGGAAACTTCAGAAAGGCTGGTGGAGAAGCAATGGTTTTGTTGTCAGTGTGGGTCTCCTTTGACTCCTCGCAAGGATTTTTTTTTTTTTTTAGATTTTATTTATTTAAGAGAGAAAAAGAGCATGGGGGTAGGGGGGAGCAGAGGGAGAAGTAGATTCCCAGCTAACAAGGGAGCCCCGCATGGGCCTGGGTTCCAGGACCCTAGGATCATGACCTGAGCCAAAGGCAGACACTTAACTGACTGAGCCATCCAGATGCCCCACAGGGATTCTTTGCCTGGGGTCTGTGGATGGAAATCAGGTGGTCCATGAGTTTGGAGTGGAACAAAAGGAATCTTTCGTGTCACTTGCCTTAACTGGAATTTAATGTTACTCAGTTTGGATGTAGGCAACAAGGACATGTGTGTCACTTGGTCTCCAGCAAAAAGCACAGCTGTTTGCATATTACCTTACAGTTGTGATGATATCTAAAAAAGTAGTTTGCGCTTGTCACAGCTTCAAAGCTGTCATAGTTATGAAACCCATGGTCAGCTGTTGTTTCATGGGGTAATAAAGAAGGGCTATGAGGGGCACCTGGGTGGCGCAGTTGGTTAGGCATCCAGCTCTTGATTTTGGCTCAGGTCGTGATCTCAGGGTCCTGGGTTCGAGCCCCACATCAGGCTCTGTGCTCCGTGAGGAGTTTACCCCGGGGCCCTCTCCCTCTGCCCCTCCCCCACTCGTGCATACACGCACGTGTGCTCTGTGCTCTCTCTCTCTCTCTCCCTCCCTCAAATAAATAAGTAAATCTTCAAAGCAAGAAATAAAGATGGGCTCTTAGTACTCTGTCACCATTCTAAATACTATTTTGAGAACTGTATTTAAATAAAATTGATTTCCTTTGTAATGCTGTGTTTAATTTGAAGCATTATTCTTAGAAAGGGACTGAGGACCTTTCTAGACTGCTGGAGGGGTCTGTGGTCCCCACATGCTCAAGTGCTCCTGCTAGGAATTTGGGAGCCTTTCTAGATATTTGAAATATTACATCCCTAATTATTACTACTTTTTAGTATTGGGAGTAATAAAAAGAATCCTTTAGAGAAATATACTGAGATATTTGCAGATGAGGAAGAAAGGAATGAATTAAAAATGAAAACCCTTTAGGAGACCCGGAAGTGGCTCCTCTCGGCAGGGTCCAACAGGACTTTGGAAGGTTGTGCACACCTTCTGGGGAAGCTTGAAAGTCACCAGGAGGAAGTCACTAGAGTCTTGTCAATGTGACAAGAGCCCTCATAGGGTCCCTGGGTCTCTGGTCTCAGTCGAGCCTGGCAGCTCCCTGGTTCTCCTCTTGGGGCTGTGAGCTCATTGCTATCTGTTCTGCTCATCCTCCTTTTAATCAGTCCTGGACCATGACCGAGGTTGGAGGGGGGCTCCCCCACACATCCCACCCACCTCTGCATTCATCAGTACTGTGCAGGGGCACCTGGTTGGAGCCCAGGGTTTGTCAGAGAGAGGACGAGGCTGACCAAAACCAGGCTGTCCTTACTTAAACTTAACCTCTTGGGACACCTGGGTGGCTCAGTTGGTTAAGCGTCTGCCTTTGGCTCAGGTCATGATCCCAGGGTCCTGGGAGTCCCTGCTTAGCGGGGAGCCTGCTTCTCCCTCTCCCTCTGCCTACTGCTCCCTCTGCTTGTGCTCTCTCTCTCTGTCAAATGAATAAAATCTTTAAAAAAAACTTATCTTCTTGAGGTTTTAGCCTTTTGAGAGGCCTTTGAAAACTGTGGACGCGTTTCCCTTGGAAAATACACAGACTCGTACATCTGAAATTTGCATACATATCCGGGTGTGCTTCCTGAGAGGCTACTGGTGAGCCCAAGTGGAGGACTGTGGCCAGTCATGCCGCATGCCAGCAGGCATGGCCGGTACTTGGTGTGTGCTCCGAGTGCTTCATTTCTTCCCCACCTCCCTGAGAAGGAGATTCTGTTGTTATCCCATTTTCTGGACAGGGAAACAGGCTTTTCTGGGCATGGGGGTTTAGTAACTCGCCCAGGGTCACAGGGCTAGGGGGTGCCTGAGCCCCTGGATCCCAGCCCAGGCAGTCTGATTCTAGGCTGGAAGCCTTCTAAGTGGGAGGTGACTCATTCTCCCCAAACCCCCACATCTTCCATAGCCTCACGTTCTTACCCACCCTCCAACCCTCCCAGGGCAGGAAGCCCTTCTTTTTTTCAGTAGAGATTTTTATTTATCGGACTGAGAGAGATAGCGAGAGAGAGAGAGAGTGAGTGAGTGCAAGCAGGGGAGCATCAGGCAGAAGGAGAGCGAGAAGGAGAGAGAGAAGCTTAGTGCTCTCCACTGAGCAGGAAGCTCAATGTGGGGCTTGATCCCAGGACCCTGGGATCATGACCTGAGTTGAAGGCAGACAATCTGCTGAGCCACCCAGGTGCCCTCAGGAAGCCCTTCTTAGGTCTCTACCCCATTCTCTCTCCTGACCAGTGTTGCCCATTGTCCTTAAGGATCATAGTCCTGGGCGTGAGGCAGTTGTCAGCCAGCCCTGGAGTGAGGAGAGGGTCTTGGGGGGCTCTCTAGGTCTTCTGCTGGCTTTCTTGGACCCTTCTCTCCTCCTCCCTCCATTTCCTACCTCACTGGTGTTTGAGTGATGGTGGTGGGGGGCACCCTGCAGGCTCTTGTGCATAGTGCTTGGGGTGTAGAGCGCATGTATGAACCCCATACAAAATGGCCTGCTCTTTCCTGGGCTCCCACAGGCGAAGCTGGTCCGCTACATTTGCAAGCAGCAACAGTGCAAGCTCAGCGTGGCTCCCAGTGAGAGGACCTCGGAGCTCAACAGCTACCCTCGCTTCAGTGACTGGCTGTGCACCTTCAATGTGAGGCCAGAGGTAGTGCAGGTAAGCGGGTTGTGGGGCTGGGGTCTGGAGAGGGGGAATGGTTGGGTGGGGGGTTGTCGGGCATGGGGGACCACACACAAATCCACGGACTGGCTCCTGTATGAGTGTGACTGGGAGGACAGTGGCTGTGGGAGGGACCCAAGGCAAGTGTGTCTCTAGCCTGTGTCCCGGGGCCACTGCCAAACGAGCTGGACAACCTGACCACACTGATGGTTCATTGATTTCCCCCTAAGAACACCCTGTGGAAACGTTGGCTGTGTGACAGGCACCGTGCTATCAACACTTTGTCTAGATAATCTCACTTAATTCTCGCAAAACCCTGTGAAGGAATTACTCTCTGTTGCTGCTTCATACTTGAGGAAATTAAAGCACAGAATGGGTACATGACTTGTTTGAAGTCACGCAGATAGCAAGTGAGCCGCTTTGGGATTTGGAAACAAGAGCCTGAGTTTAGTTTTCTCTTGTATCTGCTGTAATGTAGTATTTTCGCCGCTCAGTTCCCTCTTCCCATCCAGCCCGCCTACCTACCCCTCCCCACCTCAACCAAGTAACTGATCGGCCAGTGAGCCTGGAGAACATATCCTATGCCGAGTGTCAGGGGCACAGGGTCCTCCCCCGTGCCCCGCGTGAGGCATCAGTAAGTTAGTGCCTAGCAGGTGCAGTTCACCCAGCCAGGTCTTTCAACCCCTTTTGATTATAAAATTAAAAAGTTGTTGGCTCTTGCTATTATTTTAAAAGCAATAGGGATTTATTATTTAGACACAGCTTGGAAAACGGAGGAGGGGAAAAAAAGTCTCACATATATTCCCACGACTCAGCAAAAGTCCACAATCATTAAGATTTTGGTATTTCCTTCTGATTTTCTTCCCCCCGCTAATAGTTAAGTCTTCTAAAAATTTCTAATGGGTCAGACCCGTGCTGTAAGGTAGTTACGAGCCAACGTGGCTACTCCGTCCTTGGAACGTGGCAAATCCATGTTGAGATGTGCCGTCATTTCAAGGCTAGAAGTTCAAAGAGGTGCTGAATTCTGAAGACTTCATATAGAAAAAAAGTAACACGAATAACTTTTCATGTTTTGTATACGTTGAGTATATATAATTGGGGTCTATTAAGCTAAATAAAATGTTAAAATTAATTTCGTGAAATACACTCACTTTTTAAAATGTGGTGACTCAAAAACGGAAGTGTGTGGCTTGCATTGTATTTCTCTTGGGCAGCACTGGTTCAAACGATCCTGAATAAACAGTTTTGTTTTGCTCTTACCATATGCTATTGCTAGCCAGCATATTTTCTTTGTAGCTTCACACTTAATAACACCCCTCCCCCTTTTAAAGTAGCTGCGTAATGTTTGATTGTATGTAGGGGGTGTGGCGTGTCAGGTGGGAGGTTCATCCCATCCTTGGCTATTATCTATAACACAGGGTTAATATGATTTCTGCAGCTCTTTGTATATTTAGGAATTTTCCCTGGGAGAGATTTCCTGGACAGGAAGTGGCGTGATCGTAAAAGGTCCTGTCATGGGGAGGAGGAGTGGGAGTGCATGGGGGTGAATGAGGGGACCCCGGAGGGCTCTTAACATGTCACACGTGTCTGACCTGACCTGGTGCACGCCCACAGTTAACAAAGCTGGCAGGAAGGGACGCCTGGGTGGCTCAGGGGTTAAGCGTCTGCTTTGGGCTCAGGTCATGATCCCAGGGTCCTGGGATCGAGCCCTGTGTCGGGCCCCCTGCTCAGTGGGAGGCCTGCTTCTCCCTCTCCTACTCCCCCTTCTTTCTCTCTCTTTCAAATAAATAAAATCTTAAAAAAAAAAACTACAAAAAAAAAAAAACCAAAGTTGGCAGGAAGGAGCTGGTCTTTGTGAAGGTTGAGAGCAGCTCCTCTGTGACATGGAGTGTCCTAGGACTTTATTTAACATTCAAACGCACACATCAGGCCCTCCGGTCTCACAGCCTCCTGCTGCCCAGGAAGGGTATCTCAACAACATGGAATGGTTGTCCGTGGTGACATGTTGAAAGTCATGGACTTGGGAGCTGGGGAGCGTTGAATGGTCGCCCCTGCCCCCCAGCCAAGCCCAGCCTTTACCCCTCCCCACCCCCAGTTGTAGAGATGGGAAGCAGCTTCTCACACCACGTCTATAACACCGTGGAGGGTGCTAGGGCCCCACAGAGGTAGTGACTTGCCCGGCATCTCACCGGTGTCGTCCCTAATTTGACAGGCAGAGACCGCAGGTTTGGAGAAGCTGAAGGGCTCTGGGATGGTCTGGAGCTGGGATGCTCTCGAGGTTCAGACAGGGGACTGGTGGACTCCACACTGCATTCTCACTTCCTTTCTAGAGGCCGAGCCACCTCTGGCAGATGGCTTAGCTGCTCATGACATTTTTCTTGGGGCTGCTGAGATCTGGAGTGTGCCAGACACCCCGTTGCAGCCGTGTCTGTCTGTGAGAGAGGAGCCAGGTGTGCCCAGTGCAGAGGCTGGTCCCAGGGAAGCCAGCTGCAGGGCCATTTAAGCCCCTGGAGAGCCCTGTGGGGGGCAGCTGGCACAGGGGTCTTCCAGGCAGGCCCAGAGGCATAGCAGACACTGAGTGAGGTGGTGTTTGAGTCATGAGGTCATGAGTGCGTCAAAGCCAGCACTGAATGAGGGGCAGTCTTGTCTGTAGGGAGGCGTCAGGTGGGCGGGAGAGCCCAGGTGCCTCATGTGGTTTGGGAACCAGGCTGCTACCCAGCCTCGGGGACTGAGGTAGCGTCTGAGCAGACATCTCGGTGGGAATGACGGGGTCAGGGCAAGAGAGCAAGAGCATCTCCAGCTGCCTGGTAACCTCCCTGGTGACCTGGAGACCATGAGGCGGCTCAGAAACAACTGTTTCAGGCGGAGCTCTTGTTCTCCCCTTTCCATTCAGAGACATGTTTTCTTCCCACCTCTGCCCATCTCGGAGAATGGTAGCGTCACCCACGGAGTTGCTCAAGCCACAGCCCAAGAGGCCATCCCTAAGTCTTCCTTGCCCTCCCTCACATGTGCGAGGCTTTAGCGAGCCTTGTGGGCTCTACCCCCCAGATCTGCAGACCTGCCCCCCTCTCTCCATCCCCAGTGCCAGCACCTCTCTTGCCCGGACTCCTGCAGCAGCCTCTTAACTGTCTCCCTACTTTCATCCACTCCGTTCCACTTCCACACAGCAGCCAGAGTGCCCACTAAGAAACATAATACAGGTCATGTCATTTTCCAGTGCTTCCCATTTCTTTCTGAATAAATGCCAGATTCCTCACCCACTTGGGCCTCTACTGGCCTATCTGACCTTATCTTTCTCACCCTCCTCTTTGATCCCTTTGGTCTGACCTTTGCACTCCCTCTTCCTCTCCTTGGAATGCTTTCTCCTTGGCTTGTCCTGTGGATGTCCCTGTAGCAGCAGGTCCATTGTCCCCTCCTCTTCAGTCTTCCCTGATAACCTGATCTAAAGGTCACTCCTACCCTTTGTTTTCTACCAGTGCATCTTTGCTGATTTTTCTCAATGACACCAACCACTTTTTGGAGTATATCTGACTTATTTGTTGTTTGTGGTCTGTCTGCTGTCTCCCACTGGAATACAAGCTCCGTAACAACCCAGCGAGTGTTGGGCTCAACGTGACTGTCAAGAGGCAGAAAGGGTGAATCTCACGGTTACATGGTAGGTGTCCCAGGAGTTGAGGGTTTGGTCCTGAGTGGGTGGTGACACAGGTTACTCCTAGGTCTGGCTTTTCATACCCTGCAAGAGAAGCCACTCTAGAATCATAGCCCCAAAGATCCACCTTCCCAGCTCTGCGCAGCTACCCACAACTCAGCCTCCGGGAAGAACCCTGGGGAAGTTGGTGCCCTTGAGAAGGCTGAGATAGGCTGACGCCCCAAGGAGTCCTTGGGTCTCTTTGGCACTCCTCTTCTGACCATATCAACATGTTTCACTCATTAAGGGGTTGTGGTTCTGGGAGCCCGACTGGCCTTCCTCTGCGAGGCCTCTGTAGTCTGGTTACAGGCTGCACTGGGACCTACATGCCTCTTGCACTCTGAAGTGCTTGTGGGGTCAAGTGCTTAAAGGCACAGTGGTGTTCAGTGGGTTGGAGGAGAGAAAATTCTGGCACTTTCCTCACGTTTCATCCTCGGCTGCTGTTAATTCCTGAGTGAGAACCAGCCCCACAGAGATTGCTGGAGGTTTGTGCACAGGTAGCTCAAGACAGCCATCTGGGGAGCGAAAAGCAGGGGGGAGTCAAGGAAGGCCAGGAGAGCAGGGGCTGGCTGGAGGCAGTGTTCTGAGTCAAGAGGCAGTGGGAGTCAGTTCAAGGCCTAAGAAGGGCAGCAGGAGGACAAATGCTGGGCCCCGGGCTGCCTCCCACGCCCTTGCCGGCTCCAGAGCTCACTCATGGGCATCCTTACCCAGAGGTTGGAGGAATTGAGGCCGAGGGGGTGGGAGCAGGAAGAGGGTGGGCCAGGCTGCCTGAGAGTACCTGGGGTGTGGGCCAGCGGTTTTCTGCTTGGGTTTTAAGAATCACAAGGAACCATTGGCCCGGTATCTGTATATCTTCCCTGAGCCCTCCAGACCCCTTTTCTCAATCTTACTCTATTTCTTCCTCTCAGATCTCAGGTTGGTTCTTAGGCACAGGCCAGAGTATGCTGAAGGTTAGAAAGGAAGGTTGGAAAGGAAGTTCTCATTAGTAATCCTAGCCTCTGCTCATCGGGGGAGGGGGCTGCCTCGCCTTGGCTCTGCTGCTGGAGTCTATCCTTGTACCTGTGGGGGGGGGTGTGCACAGTGATGGGGGCCCGGAGTTAGATTAGCATCCCGGCACAGGCCTCATGGTGGGTCTGGGGGTTGTGGGTCTTACTTTTCACTCAGATAGTTTGTACTCTGACACCCACCCTCCCTTGCTCACCCTAGACGCTGATGGGTCTTGTGGACTTGTAGCTGGAATTGGTTCTAAAACTGCCACTCACCAAAGATAGGTGCAGATCTCAAGAAACTGAAGCTCCAAACACCATAA